ATCAAAGACTTGGTTGGAACTATTGCTTGTTTTTCAACCTCACTAGTTCCACTATTATTTGCAACTATTTTCTTCGATTTAGGTATTAAAGAGAATCTAGTCTCATCAAATAATGAATCTTTTGATTCTATAATGGTCCTTCCTTGCAGTATTGTAGCCTTTCGTACAAAAAGTATATTTCGCAAGTTGCGAAAAGGAAACTAACAAAAAGTTTGTTACTTTGGAACAAATTAGAAAAAGAAAGTGTGATAAAAAGTGAATAAAAGGGAGTCATTTAGCTATTTTTTTCAATTTCTCATAGGCTTTCCATGTTTTGATTATTGCAACTCATTTACCATAACAACTTCACAACTGGTAAGACATTGGGTTTGCTCTCCAGTGATTGTCATTTCTAGTCCCTTGAAAGCTAGAGCCACTGGAAGTTTGTCAACCTGTTAACTTCCGGCCACATAAAAAAACCTCACAATTATGACACATGTTTACTACCCCACAAAAATACCAATGATTTAATGAATCATTACTCACTATTGAGGTTGTTATAAAAATCCCATGATGTATAATGTACATACAAATAAACTAAACAAGAAAAAATATTAAGTGATGCAACCAATATCCCAATAGATTCATAATAACATTCAATTTAGTACACATTGTATATTTTTTAAAAGTTTGACTTAATGTGAAGAGAAACATATACATGATACCACATGATAATGTGATAACCAGATCCTGGTTATCATCCAAGGTAATTAATGTGTGATTATTTGATAATTGATTACATGATAGCCTGATAAATTTGTCATATTTGATCATGCTAGTGTGTGTGAAAATTTTGTGCATAATGTAGATACATGTATGAGGTAATGAGTATGTGAAAGTCCATATGTGTGCACAATATATATATATATATATATATATACATACATGTTATATGGATGCATGATTATGTGAGGTAAGTGTGTGTATGTGGGGAGGGGGGTTGTGTAGCCAACCTTCCTGTTTTAGAAAGATATAAAACGGAGGGCTTAGTCTCCATTTCTCCTCTTCTTGCCGTTTTAAAATTTTGAGCGATTTACAAAGTGAAGTGTTGACCGAATTATTCCTGGATTAAAGATTAAATTGACTTTGAGTATTTGGTTTCAAAAGACTTTCAAGGTGAGTAATTCTTACTACTTTTAAAGCTCTTCATAGTTGTATAAATTGATTGAACTTTACTTTTGATTTAAATATTATCCGTTGAAGTGTTGTCCGGATTAATTCTTAAATAGGACAAGTGCCAAGCGATTTAGCCATAAACCGAATAAGGGTTGGGCGATTTAAGCCCTAAACCGGTTAAGGCTTAAGCGATTTATAAATAAACCGCTTGATGAGTTGTCTGGATCAGACCTAAACCGATCAAGAGTTAAGCGTTTTAGTCTTAAAACCGGACAAGTGTTGAGCGATTTATGATCGTTGGGTTTATATTTTGAACGAAGAAATATGAATACGACCAGGTGTTAATCGGATTATTTTAAATCGGACAAGCCTTGGGCGATGTGTTGTCCGGATTTGTAAATCGGCCAAGACTTGACCGGAGATGAAGTCCGGCCAAGTCTATTGCTCGTCGGTTTATTCAACCTTAGATTCCAACACAAAAATAGAACTCGGCGCAAGTATACACCTCGAACTACTGTCGTCTCGTAACAAGTAATAATGGTAAAAAGTACCAGATTTATCGTTCCCACAGAGATAGCTT